TCTAATTTCTAGTGTACATAAGTATTTTACGGATGAAAAAGAAAATGGAGGTCCTTTAAAATCGGTAATGTCTGTACAACAACGCGTATGCGATGCTCTAGGAATTAGTGAAACCAAATTAAGAGGAGTATTACAAAATCACAATAGTGAACTGCCAAAAGATCACCGCAAAACTCGCCATCATTGAAAATGAAAGAAGTTCCAGATGAAAAGAAATTTGAAATTCGTGATACCATTTATCGAATGAGGGCCAACAAGGAACATGTGACCTTAAATACAATTCTCTCGGAATTAATAGATACAAAATTTGACGACATTGGCAGAACAAGTCTATGGCAAGTGCTACATAACTTGGGTTTCAAATTTCAAAAGGAGGATAACAGAAAGGCCCTTTGCGAAAGAAGTTCTGTCGTGCACAAGAGAATTAACTTTCTAAGAAAATATTCTAAATTTAAAGAAGAAGGGGCGAATTTTATATATTTAGACGAAACATGGATATTTTCTAGGGGAACAACCAAGAGAATATGGCAAGATGATAACGTAAAGTCCATCAAACATACCCACGGAGAAGGGAAGCGACACATAATTTTACATGCAGGAGGGAAATCGGGTTTTATAGAAGGTACTGATTTAATATTTTCATCTAAATCAAAATCCAGTGACTATCACGATAATATGAACACAGAAATGTTTGTAAAATGGTTGCATGAAAAACTTCTCCCAGGTTTAAGTGAGCCCAGCGTAATTATTTTAGACAATGCACCTTACCATTCTGAAGTATTAAACAAAAGTCCAACGAATTCTTGGACTGTTGATAAAATTAAAGAATGGTTGACAAAGGAACATATACCATTTCCTCAATATATATTAAAATCAGAATTATTACGCTTGGCAAATATACACGCAAAACCAAAAACCTTTGTTGTGGATCAGATTATTGAAAGTTACGGTCATCAAGTTTTACGTCTGCCACCGTATCATTGCCAGTTTAATCCCATCGAATATATATGGGGAATAGCAAAACAATATTATGACAACCATATTGGGCCTAATGGTTATAGTGACGACGCAGTTCGGGAAACTTGGCGAAAAGCACTTTCAATTGCAACTCCAGAAGTGTGGCGGAAGTGTATATCCAAGTGCGAGAAACTAATAGAAGATTGGTGGACTCGTGAAAATAAAATAAACGAAATAATTCCAATCATAATGACAATTAATGGTAATGACAGTGATGATGATGACGATTATGATATTTTGGATGATAATGACTGATTTTAATTTTTGTTGGCAAGTTCAATTTTTTTATTTTTCATTTGAAATTCTCTACATGGAACAAATTTTTATGTTAGAAAATATTTTATTTGAGCTAAATGTTCTCTTATTATACATAGACCATATTTTCTGTGTGAAGTGTAATATAAAATTATTATTAGGTTTATAATAGCCACATTAGACTCCATTAATGAAGAAGTTTAATTCTGCTCTCAAAATATTTTCCATTATTATTTAATTAAAAAGTTGTACAATATTTTTCATTTCATTTAACCAGTTGATATTTCCCCAAAGAACAGGTCAAACTTTCGGGTACTTACCTGGAAATACTCATAAAATTTTTAATCCGAAACCCGCGTAAGTATAGCGAACAGACTGTAGTTAATATGTTAGCTAATCCAGAATTTTCATGTAATAATTGGCCCAAAATGAGAATGTAGTGGTTTGACTGTAGAAGACTCAAATATTGATTTGTAATAAGTTATAATAAGTCTACTTAAGTCGGCACCATATGGGAAACTTATTTGTTTTATGAAAAAAAGTGTTTCTTCATAAAAAGTTCTGCATGATCTAAAACTAAAATACAGGTATTAGATATCAAATCTTTTAAGCCATGTACGAGGTTTATGCAACTACTTTTATTTATAAACAAAATTGACAATTGTTGATTAGAATTGAAAACTACTGTTAGATAATTATTTTTTCCCATCTACCATGAAAAACCAGTTTTATGATTTGCAAAATGAATTGTATAATTTGTATTTATGCCAAAAGGCATTAAAAATCGTTTTTTCGTAGATGGATAATGTTGGATATATGATCGTAGCTTTCAATTCTATCAACTTTTTCCATAATCATTTTCAATATTGTTACAGGTAATTTCCTCTTAAATAAAATTAATATTTTTTACGAACCTCGTACATGACTAAAAAAATTTAGTAGCCGATGCTTGAATTTTAGGTTTTAGACCATGTAGAACTTTTTATGAAGAATAACTTTTTTGCGTAAAATAAATAATAAAAAAGTTCCCATATGGTATCGACTGGTATTTAATAAAACAAAATATATAAATACAATTTTCTTCTTTTTTTGTGTTTTTATATATTATATTCTATTTTATTTATCATCAAATCAATAAATCAACGTTTTTTAATGTTTTTCGATTTTTTATTAGATAGATTATGCATTTGTCCCACTGTGCGTCTGGTCAAAATTTGTCAACACTAAATACAGCATACCTTTCAAGAGACTTTGTACTTTTGTAGATATGAGCAATCTTATCATAAATCAAATTTCTAATTTTTGATTGATAATTTTTTAAGTGGAACAAATAATAATTCAGAATACTGTGCATCGTAGAAATACGCACGCTTAAATAATCTTAGGACGTTGCTAGTAAAAAGTTATCAATTTTTTATATTGTGTAAATAATAGACTAGTTTAAAATATAGTTTGTAAACAATGTAGAGTACGATTAAAACAAATTACGTTTTTCTATATTCTATTATATATATTGTGTAACCTACCTCACCCAGGTACCTTCATAATTTATGAATTCCATTTTATTAAAGAAAAGATGCATTCTTATTAAATTCAAATTCCTACATTTAACGAAAAATCTTCGTCCCGCAACACCATTTTCTACCTTTTATCCATTCCGACGCTCAACATCACACCGCTCTACTTGTCGCTTGTCGTCCCTAAATATTTCCTTCCTAATATCCTTGTCGATGCCCTTCGTCGCGTAGTACCATTTAAGTATTTTCTACTGTATATCTGTCCCGACGCAGTACCGTAATAAATAACTTCCTCTCCATCACGATGCTAGGCGCCTCGACGCAAGTCGACACTCAACGCTGCGACGTATCTAAATCGACGCCGTCACAACGCTAGATACAATTAGTACATAATGTAGTACAGACAAATCTAATGTCTGTATTTTCAATGGCGAGGCAAAAGATTTTTGAAACTTTCTTTGAGATACCACCAGGGTTTCGTTTGAATGGGGGCCTGGCATTTGCTTCAAAATATTATCAATGTAACCATATGGATTTCGGACATTCACCCCGAAAGACAGTTAGGTTAGACATCTGTTTTCGACGGGCGAGTTTGAGTATTTCAATAGAAATTATAAAAATCATTATTTTAGAAATATACAGGGATCTATTATCTTGGATAAATTATACAAACTGAGGTGGTAAAATTTAACAGTAAGTTTACTAACTGGTGAATGGACACTGTTCGTTATCTCAAGGGGGACTCCTTATACTAAGCAACCCATTCTACTAGATTTGAAACAAAGTATATGTGAAAATCAACATAGTTAGATAACCAACTGCCGAATTGACGCTGATATCCTTCGTGGCCTGGCCCTCAGACTAGTGTCACCTTGTTTTGACTCTTTAGCTCTGCCAGGTCTTCTAAGCATTCTTTCGTAATTCGATTTCTGGTGAGAGAATTGCCTTGTAGAGCTGCTTGGCTATCAGAGTAGGTGGCAATAGTTTTGTCTGATAATTGCTGATTTAAAATTTCTCTTGCACAGTGTTGTATGTCTATTAGTTCAGTCTGAAACATTGTTGTATATTCTCCTAGTCTTAGTGAAATCATTGTTTTCGACTTGGGTCCATGGATTCCAGCACCAGTTCCTTTCTTGGTTGTTGAACTGTCTATATAAAAGGGAGGGTTCAGCCTGTACGGGAGATCCCTGTTTCCATGATTCTCCGGCTGATATTTTAATTTGAAGTTTCTTTCAAATTTGTATGTGGTTAAGGCTTTATCAGTAGGCATTCCTAGAATCGTATCCTTTTTTACTTGCTGATATAGCCTTGTATGGTCGGCGTTATGTAGTTCGCTTATTGGGTTTTGTCTCTGCATTAGCCTGTGATTAACGGACCTGGTTTCTCCTTGTATGAAGATGTGCAATGGCGTGAGGTTTAATGGTACCTGCATTACTGCAGTTGGCGTAATACGCAGGGCCCCAGTGGCACTCAGACAGGCAAGCCGCTTAATGCCAGTAAGTTGGCCTATTGCATTTGCCTGCCTCGTTTTGGTTACCCACGTATCCATCTTTCCTTGAATTTCACAAGGGAATGTTCTTTGATTAGGCCTGTCACTACCGATTTTGTCAGGCCAATAGAAGGGCCAGGTCCAAAAAGTATTTGATTGGCTACTTTCTTGGCTAGTGAATCAGCAAGACGGTTATTTTTCGATGTAGGGTGACCTTTGACACAATCTTAAGGTAACCACATTGTTGCTGGATACTTCGGCCAAAGCTTCGTGACATTCTAGTACTAACCCTGACTAAATTCGTGGTCTGTTCAGGGTGAGTAGTGCTTGTCTGCTATCTGTATAGATGAGCATGTTCCTTCCAGACAGCGACTATGACTCGGGTAATTATTGGAGTTGATGACCTTAGGTGACCTAGTAATTGTGACTTATTCCGAAATCAGTGGCGTATACCTGATTTATCATAAATTCTGAAAGTTTATTTACTCCTTCAATTATTGGTATGTTTTTAAAATAACATTTTTGTACATTTTAGGCGTGCCTAAATATTAACCTATTTTAATTTTCACATGTATTTCAACAACTTTTACCTAGTAAGATTTATTTTATTATGATTAATCTTCTACTAATGTAATAAATAGTTACAGAGCTATTACTATCAAAATTATTATAAAAAACAAATAATGTGTCATGATAAACTTTGAATGTACATCTACAAATGACATTTACTTAACTTGTTTACAAGAAAGTATTTTTTAAATCTCAAGTAGGGATTAGCCGGATTAAGGTGTTCAAAGATCTACTATTTAATAAATATCTAGATCATTTTCGATCTTATTGATTTGTTTGAAGTTTATATTGATGTGTGATACCCTATAATAAATTGCAATGCAGCTGAAACAGCTTCTGGTAATTATGACGGTCCTTATTTGTTTGTATGCAGTTAGTGCCGATTTAAATAAGGAAGAACAAGCATATTTGGATTCTATTTTCGATCCTATACCTGTAGAACGTAAGTTATTAATTTTAAAATGTGCTTCAAATAACTAATTATAGTGATATATTATATCCAAGTGAAATATTTTTAAAATAAAAATATAAATTGAAGGGATTATTGAAAAAAGTGACATGTCACAAAATTAATTTTTAGAGAAAAATAAATTTCTAAAATTATCAATAGGTATTATAACTAATAATAAGTATTTTTGGCATTCTATATATTATTCTTTACAGTTAAACAGGCCTCCCTTAATCCTTCATTTTTAATCAGATTTCAGAATCAATAGGCTTCATCCCCTTATAGAGCTTCATATTTCATGTTAATATCGTTTTTCTGAGTAACGGTATTTTATATTATAACCTCTTCTCTTATCTCCCATTTTACATTCGAATTTTTTTTTTAAATAATTTGATTTTTTTTAATATTTCAACCCCTGTTTTTATTTTTTTTATTGAAATTCTTTTTAACCCCCTTGTCTCCTCAACCCTCTATCTTTATTCATAGGCTTTGTCCCTTTATAGAACTTGAGTTTTCCTGAAAATTTTAAGTTGATATCATTTTTTGTTTTTGACCTATCGTGCCGACAAAAACGTGACATCGGACAGACGGACGGACATTTTTAAAAAATTAGATACCAGACATTTTCATGTACTGGTAAATCAACACAAGTAGGAACTTGACGTACTAAATTTTACTAACGAATGACTAGGTACTTAACTAAAAAAGGATAATCTTTTAACATAAAATTTTCTATCATGTTGTTTTTATTCTTTAGTTTACACTAGTGCTAGTGGAATAGACATTATGATGAGTTTTTTTAACATACATTTTTCTACTTGTTCATCATTAGATTTACTACTTATTTTATAATCAACAAGTTTAGCTCTTGGTAATTTTCAACGAACTTTACCTTTGCTTTTGTTACTTTTACGTTATTTAAAAATTTAAAACTTTGTTAGTAATATTAGTATTAGTTCAAACTTTCCTTAAAATTATAAATAAAAATTGTTTCAAAATTTACAAATAAATCTCCACACGTTCTCTTTTATCCACAAGGCGTGACAGAAGATGAAGTAAGAGTAGAGCCGTGCGGTCCATGGAAGCGGGGGAAGCACCGCTTCCCTACACTTTGAGATTTAAAAATAAATATTTTTCTGTTTACAATGCATTGAATTAATATTAAATTAGTTACTATATTTTCTCAGAAACATTACGCACCACCCATGAAAAAATTAATTGGGTAAACGCACACACCATATACTTCGAGTCCGTCGGCGGAAGCGCGTCTTGAAAAAGTCGGCTCATCTTCCAATTGATTTTGCTTCGTGTTATTGACCTAGCTTTGCTGCGATAGTAGTCAGTCTGTTTGGACACGTGAAATACGGTCGAGAGGCAGCGATTTTTACTTCGCCTTATGCATATTGCAATTCGCACCGCGAATCGACATGTGAGGAAAATCGTAGACTTCAGATAGATTTCGATTTGTTTTTCGTAGTTGTTTTTCTTTTTGTAAAATGGAGGAACTATGCACTGTGCCTGTGAACAATAATAATGTGGTAATTTGTGTCTGTATTGTGTGCTCTTTATTGAAAAAAGGATTTTCAAGTAGAAATTTTGAAGAGAAAACGGACATTATTAATTCTAGTAGACTAAAGGGCTCTATCAATTTAGAGACGAAAGTAAAAAAGTCAGCACAGAAATTTACCAGGCATTTTCACGTAGGGTTTTATGAAAAGTATGAATGGTTAACCGGCTGCAAAACTTTGAAGAAATTGTTTTGCTGGCCTTGCCTACTTTTTAATATAGCCCAAATAAACATTGGAAGTCAGTCGGTATTACAAACTTGAATAATTTTTACAAAAGTGTAAAACGATATGTTAGTAGCAAATCTCACATAAGTGCCACAATTAAAGAAAAAACATTCGGGACCTATCGCATTGAACATAGTTTGAACAATCATTTAAAATAAGCAACAAAATTCACAATGAAAGGGTAAAAAAATAGGGACGTCTTACAACGATTAATAGATGTAAGTTTCGTGGGAGAGCATGAACTAAGTTTTAGGGGTCACAATGAAGCAAGTGGGTCCACCAATCGAGAAAATTACATGGACCTCCTAAGTTTTTTAGCAAAATACGATGATACCTTGAAAAATAATTTTATTGAGTCGACGACTTTCCGAGGTACCTTAAACAGAATCCAAAATGATTTAATTAAATGCACTGCCGACGTTGTGATGGATCACATTAAAAGTGAAATTAAAAAAGCACCTTTTTTATCAATTGCGCTTAATGAAACCACAGATGTAGCAAACTTAAGTCAATGATCCATTGTTGTGCGATATGTATTGGATGGCATTCCTCAAGAGCGATTCTTAGGATTTTTGGACATCACTAGCGAATGAACTGCAGATGCATTGTTTAAAATTGTTTGTGACATTATTTCAAGTTTAGAATGTGGTTCTAAGCTTGTTGCCCAGAGCTACGATGGTGCTGCCGTAATGGCTGTCCATTTAGGAGGCCTTCAAGTTAAAGTGAAAGAGAAGTTTATACATGCAATTTTCGTTCACTGTATAGCACATAGACTTAATTTGATTTAATCGCGAAGCATGGATAATATTACAGATTGCAAAGTTTTCTCTTCGACGCTTAGTGGTTTGGCTTCCTTCTTTTCAAAGTCATCGAAAAGAACTCGCGCTTTGGACATTTACGTTCAAAAAAGGTTTCCAAAAGTTGCTCCGACGCGATGGAACTACAGGGGACGTTTAGTGTAAACAGTGTTTCAATACCGTGATTCTTTGATACACTTTTTTCAAGACGTTTGGTATAATAAAGAAACGTGGGATGCTGAAACTGTTACTGCCGCTGAAGGGTATTTGCATTGACTTAAACAAAACTTTGATTTTAATTTTTTGTAAGTAACTATGATTCATCAAAATTTCCATCGGAAGCTTTTAATTCACTAAAATTAAATTATGGAATTTTTTTCGATATTCCAGTATTAAAGTCCCAGTTAAGTGTTGTTTATGAAACAACTGAAATTAGTGATAAAAAGACGCCCATCAATGCGTTAAAATTTCTTATAACAACTGGTTTGAATAAGTCTTTTTGTGAAGTCGTCAAGTTGTGTGAATTAGTACTAACCATCCCAGCCACAAGTGCGTCAGTTGAGCGAAGTATTTCAGCTTTAAAGCGCATTAAAAGTTTTATAAGAAATTCAACAAGTGAAGACAGACTCTCTAATTTAGCCCTAATATCCATTGAAAAACAGCGTGTTAAACAGTTATCAGAAAATCCAAAATTTTACGATGATGTTATAGATAAATTTGTAGCCATTGAGGATAGGCGAATAGATCTTAAGTATAAATAAATGTCAACTGTGCGAAAAATGCTGAAAAAAAAATAAAAAAAAACAGTTAAATGTTTTTTTACGTTTAAATAAACCAAGAAAGCTTTTCAATGGTTAGTTTTTTATAGCTTCTAGTACTAAACTAGGTAATAAAGTAATAGTAACACTTCAAAAATCTCAATCTCGAATATCCGTAGTACTGAGGGAAAAAAGCAAGATTTTGACAAAATGGTGAATGGGCCGCAAAAAATGTTCGCCTGCGGCGCTATGCTTACTGGCCTGCTGTATTTTTATACAATCGCTTCCCCTTTCAAAAATGTCACGGCACGCCACTGCGCAATAAGCGTGTATCATTGGGTATAACAGTGTGCTTTTTTCTGGCAAATTGCAACACATTTTTTTGAATGAAACATTTCAGTACAATGGCCTACTATTACTATATTTAATCGAATAATACAATTTTACAATACGTCTTTGTGAAAATAAAATTATTATCTAGGTAAAAACCTAGATTACCAGTGATTTCAAAATTGCTTAAATTGCGGATTAAAGTCTGTATCAAGCCAACATTTAATGATAATTTATATGGTTCAGTTTTTATCGAGTATTTTGGACTGTATGGCCTGACTGCGCCAGCGGTCAGTTTTTCCCATATATTTCTATGGCCGGATTGCTGATGTTAAAATTGCATCTTTAAAACACGGCAGGATTATGCCGCGGTTAATATCTACTTGTACCCTAGAAATGCAAGCCAGATTAACTATTCGCCTACGAAAAATTAAAGATTTGTAGAAACTGTTCGACATCATTAAAATGATATAAAAAAGAATCATTATTGTTAGTATATTAGATTACAAATATAATAAAATAAAATATCAACAACCGATTACAAGAACGATTGTTCAAATCTCTTATTAGCTAGTAAACTTATAATTTTATTAACTCCTCAAATTATCTCCTATGTGCGTTTGATTTGATCATCAGGGATCTCCGAGCGTTGCAAACTTGTTTCAATTGACACTCCAAGCGATCCAAAAAGTGTTTGTTTCGCTTTGGAGCGGGAACATAGAGCGGGCTCGATGTTTTCAGAGCAGAAGGATCGAGACGAAGGAGAAATTTGTCATTGTCTCTTTTTAATTAACCTACAAATAAACTTGAATCTCAAAATTCGAGAGCAGACAAGAAGTCAACAAATTACTTAGCCACTTTTGTCTTATAGCTAAAATTATTCATTACTAAAAATAAAATGTGTTTGGAAAATACATTTGTTCTGCTCAGATCTAATCACCAGTAATATTAAAGTAATGAAGTTTGAAAGAGAAGGGGACTTTTGTGGTATATGCTGCACTTCAGGGCCATTGTCCCTTATTATTAAAAGTTTTCCATTTTCTTCACTTTTTGCTCACTGTTTTGATATACAAACCAGAATCACAAAAAAAGCGAGGTTATGTTTTATACTCTATTTTATTTGATTTGTTTCTTTGGTATATTGTGACGTCATCACTTCTCAGTCTCGTCGACGCTCGCTCGATCGTGTTACAAATCAAACGACCCTATTAATGGTAAATTTGGTAAGAACGCTTTTTCAACTGACAGTATGAAGTAAAATATGACAATATTCAAAATACGTTCTTATCAAGAATTACCTCTTTCTTTGTAGACCC